GATTTCAGGTTTTATCCTTCAGTATTATTTTAATCAAGTTTGAAATGCCATGTATTAAAATGAGGTGTCTGGGTGTCATTATTGAGGTTTAGACTAACCGTACAATCATTTAAGCTTAATCAGAATGTTAATCAATTATCTTACTTATATAATCTCACTTTAGTTAGAATTAATCGTGTTCACAATGTTAGAAACTTACATTTGGGTATAAGTACAAGCGAATCACAACAGACTCTAGGACAGGTAAGACATTCTTTAATTCCAAACACTCTACACTCTATAAAGTAGACTTAAGATAGTTTGACTAAATAAAATTAGTAGACAGCAGAGAAAGGTAGCAAGTAACCTGACAATCATAATTTGATAGTTATTAATTATTCCCTAGAAAGAAACTAACTTTAGATCAGAACTAATTGGTATCCTTAAAGTATAATTAGGTTAAACTGAAAACAGCTAAAACTAAACCGAATTCCTGCAGGCCATAAAATATCTTATCTCAAGGAATGTGGAGGGTCAGGATGTCCCTGAGCAGAGAAGACTGTTACCATGACAACTTCAGGTTAGACCAATCAAAGGGCAGAAGTGTTCAAATCGGTAATAAAACACGTCTACAGAGAAAGGACAGCAGCACTTCTCTGATGAACTCTTCTGATCAGGTCTGTTGGTGAATTGCTCCAGTATGCATACTGAAAATGTCTGTTTCATGAACTCTGAATACTTGTTAATTTGTGTCCAATAAATATTTTATTAATAAGGTGACTCCTGAAGCTGTTTGAACACCACGACAAGTGCTATGCATATGGCTGTTATTGAATATATGTCAGCAGCTCTTACAGCTGTTGCACAATTTTTGTAGAAAATAAGCCTAAATAAGAGGAATATGTTCTACGAAGGAACGTATATAAAATATCGGTATCAGTTATCGGCCAAATAAGTTTTAACATATCGGCCAAAAATCCAATATCGTGAATCCCTAATTTTTTCCTGATGATTCTTCATGAAATTCCTCTGAATGCAAAGCTTCATAGTGCAAAACTCCAACAAGGTTGTTAGAGGAAAACCGGGCTGCAGGTAAGGGGCGTTTGCTTCAGGACAAATTGTGATCGCTGATTGGTCAATTGCTGACATTGATGGACAGGGGGCGTCAAGACTCCGACTCATGCAAAAAAAAAAACATTTACTGGCATGTTTAAAACTGTCATCATTTATATTTATTTCAAATATGTTCCATATTTTAGTTTGAGAACTGAGTTTCTTTAATATCCTGATGAATGCTCAATAATCCAGGTAGAAAAATCTAAAAAAGTTAAATCTGGTCCTCTGGACATTCAAAAAACAAAACAAAGCCAAACAACAAAAAAATGTAGAAACGTTTCGTCTTTCATCCGAAAGACTTCCTCAATCTGAGGTGCTGTATGCAGCTCAGTCTTTTAAATATATATACATTTTTTTGTTGTTTTGCTTTGTTTTGTTTTTTGAACGTCCGGAGGACCAGATTTAACTTTTTTAGATGAGTTTCTTTAAATTTTAATGATGGTTTATTAAGTTAAATTTTCAGGGGTGCTGAGTTAAAACGTAGGGGTGCCTGAGCATGAGCCCCCACAAAAAAGAAGCTAAAATCGCCACTGCACAGGAGTGTGCAGGTGAGAGCGGGACTTAATGGTTCTGGTCTGGTACTTCCTGTGTATGTGAGGAAACGTGAGTGAGAGACAGAGGAAGCAGCGTGCGTGAGTCAGTCTGCAGCCTGACAGCAAACAGAGAGGATCATGTGTCGAGCTGCTCCACTCTCCCATCATCATCATCAGCAGCAGCAGCAGCAGCAGCCCTCATCAGAACCCAGGTCCAAGCCCAGGATGTCTTTAAACACCACGGAAAGTGAGGAGTACACGTGCGTGCGCTTCTACGTGTCCACCGTGTCCTTCTCGGTGCTGCTCTTCTTCAACCTCATCATCAACTGGACCATCGTGCGGGAGGAGCGGCTGCGCGGGCACGCGCGCTTCGTGCTGGTCTTCCACCTGCTGGTGTCGGCCCTGGTCTACCTGGGCATGAGCAGCGTCTTCTACTACCAGATCCACCTGAGCGCGCGGCCGGGCCACACCGCGTGCATGACCATGATCACGGTGCTGATCAGCAGCGCGGCCAACATCCTGCTGACGCTCACCGCCATGGCGTTGGATCGATTCTGCGCCGTGTGCCACCCGCTGCGCTACAGCTCCATCTGCACGGCCGGGTAATCATCCGAACCAATCTGTGCCCAAACTAGTGCAGCAGTTATTTTTTTAATATTTTTTTTATACTTAAAGCTTCCTTCACCCCCAAGCAATTTATGTAAAAAGAGAAAAGCCGTCTCTTAACAGTGGAGGAGGCCTCAGATTTCCACTTTCTAAAACATATAATGCAACTTTAAGACAGATTCCCAGCCAGTTTTCACACCTGATGGGAACAGAGGGGCCTCGTCTGTGAATCAGAGGAACAAAAGACTCTTACTGTTAAGGTGTTTAGGTGTGAATTGCTAATCTACATATGTGTGTGTTTTATCTCAGTCATCTTTATAACCTGAATCCCTCACTGCTCTTTGAATTGAGAAAGCTCCTCGGATGAGGAGCGAAACGTCTTCTGTTACAAATGAAGTCCAGTTGTTTTTGTATTGAACGTTTTTTGAACTCACCATGTCCTGGATGACTGAGAATCTTCACCAGCACTTAAAGCTTTAAAATGTTTTTTTAATTTTTTTTATTCAAAATCTAAACTTTTCAGTGCAGTTTGTTTATATAGCGCCTTAAAAAAAGAGAATTAGTAAAAGTTATCTAATGAAGTCAGTAGATTGCGTAAAATTTCTACTTTGTTGCAACTTCTCATCCTGAGCAGCATGTTGGCGACTGTGGAAAGGAAAGACCCTTTTAACAGGAACCTTCAGCAGAACTGAGTTCTGCCTCGACTGTCTGGAGTTGACACAAAACTTTTCATTCTGCAAAATGGCCGCACAGACAAGTCCTTCTCGTCGTTCATAAATCACGGGTTAGCTCGCCACTTCCCGCACATACGAGAGCGATCGGAAATTAAACGGGCAGTGCAGAACCAAAAGAGGCATGGAGCAGAACTCAGCTGGGTTGAGGTGGAGCTCAGTGCGTTAAATGTGTATCAGACGTCTGCCTTGTGTCAAATACAAAACAAAATGAATTCATTTGACCCTGCATGTGGTTAATAGGCCTGTCGCAATAAACAATAAAACAGGTCGACCTCTGGGAAAAAACCTCCATGTCAAAGCTCCAAAATTCACGGTTGAAACCCGTGCCTTCGTCTAAAAAGTTGTTTTTCTTTGCAAAAATAAGCTGAGAACTTGTTTACTGATTTTTTTTTAATCAAAAGATTTGTGTGACAAATGCTATGCTAAAAAGCTCAAACCACACCGAGCGTCCGCCATTTTGAAACCGAAAAAAGGAAAGAGAGAGCCCATGTCACGTCAAGGGGCCTCCCTCCCATTTTTCTTAAAGAGACATTGCTCGCTCCCTCCCTGTCCATCCTTCGGTTCAAACAGTTTTATACTGCCATCTGGGGGTCAAAAAAGGTACTACACACAAAAATTAACCAACATTTCTTCTTAAATTTAAATTCGCATCATCCCGTTCAGTAGTCCCAACAAGAAGGCGTCTCAGTCCCGGACTGAAATGTTTTATAAAATAGCCGTGAGACACATTTACAAATACAAACATGGAGAGTAAAGCGACTAACCTGATTCAAGATGTCCGCCACAGCTAAGTGACCTTCACATACCACATCTAGCGCAAAATGATAATATCTCAGTCATTTTTACAGAGTTTGAGATCAAGTTTGGCTTGGTAGTAGCTTATAGTTTTATACCTGAGACATACTGTATGCCTCATTTCCATAGGTCCTGCTCGGTTCGACCCTTATTGGCCCTTATTGGCCCTTGGGCCGGTACAGGTCGGATCGCTTCATTTTCTGATTCCACAGTGCCCATTAGTGCCCCTTTAGTGGGTGAACCATTATTATCAACGCACCAACACCTCTTTAAAAACCTTCTCGCTACATGTCGCTCCATCTAGCTTGCTTTGAACTTTTTCGTCGGCCAGCAAACACAAAAGGCCTGAACTTCAGCATTTGACCACGGTTGTGACATTATTGTTTGTCTATACCTTCAAAATACTCCAAACTATGCTCCTCCAGATTCGAGTTGTTTCTCATGGCGGGTTAAAAAGAAAATGGCGGATAGGGCTGCAGTGGAAGTTTGTGAAACCCCGCCCTCTGACCAGTGACTCCACCCCCTGACCAATCAGTAATCAACAGTGCGCTGACATCACGGTTTAGGCTCCTGCTTGGCCTCAGCGGAACCGCAGAGAAGTAGGTACTGGAAAAACAGTCCAGTTCCACGAAGAAGTCCCTGTGGAAAAGAACACGGAGCTGGACTGAGCAGGGTAAAGGGGCCAAGGAGGGACTAAACAGTATGTTCCCATACAGTGGTGAAATTAGTTCTCTGCATTTAACCCATCGCACATGGGATACACCCAGGTGGAGCAGTGGGCAGCTATGTAGGCGCCTGGGGAGTGATTGGGGATTGGGTGTCTTGCTCAGGGACACCATGACATGTGGGAATGACTGAAGATTGAACCTGGGACTTCTGGGTCCTGGGTCGGCTGCGCTGCCTCAACCCCATCTTGGCCCCTAATCCCTAATGCACACAGCAAGCGCTACAACAGACCACTCACATCTTTGTTGGCACCCATGAGGTGTGCGTTCCTAAGCTAGTTTAATTTAATATGGATTTAAATCTCTGATATTTTTTAACCAGCTTCCTAAAATACAACTTGGTGTGTTCAAGCAGTTAACACTTTATTTGGAGCCTCACACTGACCCTGATCGTTTCTCAGGTACTGGCCCTGGGTGCTGGGGGTGGTCACCTGGCTGCTGGCCCTGGTCATCCCTCTCAGCCTGCTCGTCAAGCCAGACCCCGAGGACCACGAGGAATGTGACCGGGCCCAGCTGAAGAGAGGCGAGCTGCAGAAGGTGCTCTTCATCGGCGTGTGCACGCTGCTCATCCTCTACAGCTACGTGAGGATTCTGCAGGAGAGCCGGAGGCTCGGGGTTCTCAACCGGCGCAACCGGGCCGGGTGCAGGACCATCGCCCTGCACGGAACCCAGCTGGCCGTTTACCTCCTGCCCAACTTTGTGAACTTCATGCTCACGATTCTGAGAAAAAAGGACTTTATTCAGCAAGAGACCAAAGAGCTGGCAGCTGTGGTCATCTTCGCCTTCTTCAGCGTGGCGCAGTGCATCGCGCCGGTTGTCTACGGCTTGCGCAAAGAAGAACTTCTGGAGCAGCTGAATCGCAGGTTCCCCTGCTGCTCCCGGTACTTAAAGACTGTCCTCGGGTGGACAGTAAGAGCCAGCTGGCCACACACACAACCAGATGGAAGGTATGTCCCACTGACGTTTCCACATTTATAATTAGTCTCCTCATGAAGCCATGAAGGAACTTAACACGAAACCAAGTTTGATTTTAAAAAATGTGTTAAACCCTTTTAACTTTCAGTTTGAGTATTTCTTTCCAGCCTTTGTCTATGGCAGTTTATTGTTGTAGGAGTTTGTGTCTAGAAAAGGAAGGAAGTGGAGGTTAAAAAAAAAGGTGTCAGACCTAAAAACTTATCTACAATCTAGTACAAGTAAATAAAAAAAACATCTAGCACAGACCTGCCACAAGACCTGAGTGTTGCATCATCCTACAGATGATTGTCTGCTGTGGTTCCCAAAGTGTTGGGAGTTTGTTTGTCGGCCATGGCTGAGTGGTTAGAGCAGTCATCCTCCAATACAAGAGTTGGTGGTTCAATTCCACCAGCAGTCACATGCCAAAGTGTCCCTGGGCAAGACACTGAACCCCTCATTCCGATGTGTGTCCGATCGGTGTATGAATGTGATAAAGCACTGATTATTCTTTATATAGATCTAGTAGAGAGCTGTATGAACGGGTAAGTGAGGCACAGATTGTAGAGTTAGGGTCGGGACCTCGCTGTGGACCATCAAACACCAGTGGGTGCTTGAAGATGATTTGTGGAAATCAAATTAAAAAAAATTCCAGTAGTATATTTAGCTGTAACTAGGCCTCTTGTGATAAACAATAAATCAATTAATCGCATGATTAATGAAAATTATCTACCTAAGTTTCATTTATCGGCTTTATCGTTTCTTCGTGTCTCTCTCTTTCTACTGAAGACACTGGATGACAAAAAGCTCAGCTCTGGTGCTCTTCACTGACCCTCCCTTTCTCTTTAAAATCCATTTTAACCATCCAGAATCGTGTTTTTTTTTTTGGGATTGTTTAAAGCAGCTAAGCTGAGAAGCTAAGCTACGAGCTAAGCTAACAGGTCGACCTCGGGGGGGGGGGGGAAAAACCTCCATCTTGTCAAAGCTCCAAAATTCATGATTGAAACCCGTGCCTTTGTGTATTTGTGTAGAAAGTTTTTCTCTGTAAAAAGAAGCTGAGAACTTGTGTACTGATTTTTTATTAAAAGCTTTGTGTGAAAAATGCTATGCTAAAGAGCTCAAACCACACCGAGCATCCACCATTTTGAGAACCGAAAAACAGGAATGACAGCCATTGTCACGTCAAGGGGCCTCCATCCCATTTTTCTTAAAGAGGCACGCTGCTCGCTCCCTCACTATCCATCATTCGGTTCAAACTATCTCATACTGCCATCCAGTGGTCAAACAAAGGTACTACACTCAAAACAAATTAACCAACATTTCTTCTAAATTTGTCAATAATTCTTAATTATTGTTAAATTTCAAACAATATTATCGTTTATCACAATAATTTCTGAGACAATTAATCGCCCAGCAAAATGTGTTATCATGACAGGCCTAGCCGTAACTATTGTTTACAAAAAAGACCCCTTTTAACAGGAAGGAAACTCCAGCAGAACCAGACTCAAGACAGGCGCTTATTTACCTCGACTAGCTTGGGTTTGAGAGGAAATACTATTTTATGTATTAAACTGTATTTTCTTTGGTACTTTTTCATAGATTCAACTAAAACTTTTTAACAAATTGTGTCTTTGTGACAAGCTGCAGAGACAAAATGAGTAAAAAGGCTGACAAAAAGACCTTCGCCTGAATATGTAATAATCTAAATTATGGTAAAAATGACGGGAAAGTCTTGATTATTGGAAGCAACGTATCAAGAATTTAGGCACAACTTGATATTTTGATCGATATTTATACTCCCGTTGAAAGGAGAACATTAAGCGCTTTGGCCAGCAGTGTTGTTTTTAAAGTGCTTTATAAATAAAGTTGTATTGTATTAAGCCAGTCTCTGTCAGTCTGTTCATAAACTTTCTCTTGCCCCGCCCATAACTTCTGATCTGCTCATGATGATTTAATAAAACTTCTTACACATATGTATCCTCACCAGACGACGTATCCCGTACACTTTTCACAACCCAGCTCCAATGTCAAGGTCACAAATGAAGGTCAAAGTTATGACACGGTCTTTGCTCGTCTAAGCCATTGCTGTAATTGACAGTACAGTGTTCCTCTCGTTTTATTTTATCTTCACAAAGACCCCCAACCTTTCTTCTTCCTGTTTAAAGAACCACTTGACATTTTTTGGAAAAGGGTGTTCAGTGGAAAAAGTTCACCCCAAGTATCAGCGGTTACTGTAAACAACGAGAAGTCACAGGAACTGTTTAAATAAAGACTCATGGCAACCAGTTCGTCAGGATCTGAGCGGCAGAGCTTAAATTAGAAGGTCAAACTGAGACAAGTTGAGGACTGAGATGGGAAACATTGGGTTTAACATCGTGTTTTATAAACCTGACATCTTCATTTATCCCAAGTTATCAAATTAGAAAATCTCTAGAGAATAATGAGTGATTCAAAGATGAATGACTAAACAAGTTAACGTTACGACTTAAGTAGAATCTTGCAATGACTGCTTTAACACTTTCGTGTACTTTCAACAAACACAATTTAAGAGGCAATTGAGGTCATTGTCCTTTTTTCTTTCTTTCTCAGGGAGCGAACGTTGACTGTTCAGACAACCATCTCGTTCGAACCCCCGCACGAAGACGATAAGGAAACTGGACCGTTGTCAGTCAATGGTTTCTCACATGACCAAAACTCATCCCAGGGAATTACGGACAAAGCTTGATGGGAAAACTGATTGATCACTGGACCTTAAGTGTGACGGGAAAACTTTGACACATGCTACTGGTTTTATGTCAACATCGGGGAGAAAATACCCATTGAAAGGAACATTGAAAAGAGGTAATTTATTTACCGTAGGTGCTTCGTCTCTGTACTTTGGCCTCTTTCTCCTGTCTGGTTGAGTGCACCTGAGGATTACCGGTCAGCCTGCTCAGAGGAAACGGTTCTCCCATTGCTGATTCGATGGTTTACACCATTATTCAGACCATTCGTACGATGGATACAATAAAAGGACTTGAAAGGTCCAGATCCTCCGATAGCGAGAAGTTTGAAATTCAGTCTATATGGAACCAGTTGGCTGTTGGATCCCTGCAGGAAGTCAGCTCTGGAAACAAGTGTGAATAGGAACAGGTGACGTTCTTTACAGAACATTAATTTATACAACCCAAGTTTGGACTGTTTGTTTTAGTAAAATATGTTTTATGTATTTTCGTTTATGTCCAAAATGGATCTTTTTCTTTGTTTTGTTTTCAAAATGTTCAAATAAGCTCATATTTAATTAAATAAATCATTTGTACATTTGCAGCACATAAAAAAGCAGTAATGCAAAATGCAATTATGAGAATAACATTATAGTGTTTTAATACTGTTTTTCGAGAAAATAACGTGTCCTAAACTTTTAAAAAGGTGGTAAATAATAAATAAATAAATTGGGATTCAATATATTTTCCTAGATTTTTTTAAACATTGTATTTTGTAAATTAATTCATATCAGGCCTGAAGACTTTCAATGGACACGTCCAGGTTGTCCTCGTTTCTCACACAAAGACAGGAGGGGAGACAGGCGTCAACTTCCTGTGAGCTGGAAAGGAGAGCAGGTAAAGAGGACGGACGGGGTGGAAAAATTACGCCTGGTCTAATGGGTTTAATCTTGGGATTTACCACAGACATTTTGATGGCGAGTTTGTATAGTTATAATTTTAGCAGTTTGTACAACTAGTTGGTGCTGATGCTAAAAACTAAAATAATTATTTAATTTTGTATCTGTATTTAGTTATTTGTAGAGCTAACACCGTGAACTGCCCTACTGCAAGGAAACTATTAGCTTAAAAAAGGCGGGAAAACCACATATCCAAAGAAGATTGATGTTGAGCATAAAAACGGCGGGAAAACGGCATATCCAAAGCAGACTGGATGTTTAGTTTTTATGAACTTCTTTTCCTTGTTTTAATTATTTTACACATTTAAAAAACTCAACTATGTTTAACAAATATTTTTTAGTTATCTCTACACTTTTGTTAGCTACTTGCAACGTTAAGCTAACATGCTGAATAATGTTCAATAAGGAGTTACTTAAACTTAAATAAGCATGAATATTGTATTAACCAAAAGTTCTTAAAACATTAATAATTGAAAACATAAACATTATAAAATATGACTGCTTCTCAAAAAAAGTCTCGCGCATTTCTCACATTCGCAAATAAATCTCATGAACCAGGACTTAATTTGTAAACCGATCGACGTCGGAACGCAAATAGCAGGCAGGCCGCAGGGGGCGGGTCCTCTTCCAGAAAATTTTGAACAAAGTAGATGTGATCTGCATTTTGGCGTAATTTAACAGGTTGTTAAACGTGTATGTTTACCTACATTTGTAAACACTCTGCTTCTGTCAAGCATCCCACCCCCCTCACTTGATGTTGCAGAGCTTGACACCGTCCCTGCTCATTGTCCGACGCCACATGTGAAACCTCCAGGCAACTCCTCCGTCTATTCATGGCAACTTCCCGTGGGCTCCTGCCCACGTACAACTGTCTGGTTAGCTCGGTACTCACCTTCACCACACTTGAGATTTTTTTAAGGGTACATGCGGAAATGCTACTTGAAGGGGCAACTTGTATGCTTGTAAGTGGTTATGTTTAAAATTAGTGTTTATGTAATTATTTCCAGTTTACATATCTAATATAAGTTTAATTCGTTCAAGGCAGTCATATTTGTTCACAACTTTATTATTAGTGAAAGTTACCCGATACAAGTTGTTATTGGAACGCACCCTGTCAAAATAGGAGTTCCGAATCCTGTTCCAGCAGGAACCAGCTCAAATTAAGCCCCGTCATGAACAACTGGACAGATTTTAATAACTTTCAGAAAGTAATCCATAGAAGTGATTCAACATTTACCGAAAACTTATTATTGGAGTCAACCCAATTCAAAATGGTTGCTCATTGACCATAATACACACAAGCATGTCTAAACCATCAGTTTTACAGATAATGACAGGAACTTCGTCATTTCTCAACATATGTGAACAGGAAAAGCAGTGGGCGATATATGTTACTTGAAAAATACTAATCCTCACTCTTTGGAAGATTTTTGTCTAGAATAAATTCGATGCATCTTAAAAGCTGTGGGTAAATGTGGCAATGTAAAAGTTGTTTCAAGTATTGAGTTTCATAGTTAGTTACAAACTACAGTAATACACAACTAGCCAATGTAAGATTTTATTTACAGAATTTTAAGCATAAATTTTCTCAAACCACAGCAAACGATGAGTTAAAAAAATGATTGAAACAGGCGAACTGGTAATTTTAACACTACAAATTGTCATTGCTAGATTTTTTTGTTGTTGCAGTTTTGGTTTGCAGATTTAGTCACTCTGCCCCAGGTTTGGGGATTTCTAGACGTTCGCACCGCATGTCTTGAGAGGCGCCTCCACCACAGCCCTCATCCCATCTGAATATCTCACACCCAGAAGGGATGCTTGTTTGTTTTGCACAGCAGAACCGGCGTGCACAAGTCGCCGACCGTCAGCGCAACACTTACTGGCACTTCAGTGAAGTGTTTGCCAAGGAAAGAGTCGGGCAGCAGAAGTGAAAGCAGAAACAGGATGTAATGAACACAGACACAAAAAAAGAAAAATAAGAAGGCAGTTTTAAGGCAAGATAAAAAAATGATTTCCAAAACTCAGAGAAACAAAGGGAGGGGAAAAACATTTTACAACTGCAAGAAAAGAACTCAAAACTAATAACAGAGGTATGTTTAATGATTAAAGTACTGCGTTGCAAATACATAGAGATCTACAAAGTTTACAAACGCCCGCTGAGGCAAATAACCAGATAAACATGGATATAAACCGACACAGGCCTTCCTACGGCAACTGAATTAGTTGTTTAGATCATTTTAAAATATATTCAACCCAATGGGATTCAATTTAGTCCAATATTTATACCATTAGCCTGAACCATTTTATTACAAGTACAGATGATGAACCTAAAAGGTGCTATAATTAAGATTAACGTCTTCATTTATGCAGATGATGTCATCGTTTATATCTGATTAAGGCTGTAATCTTTACTGGAAACATGATGTACCAATCAAGTCACCCTGGACCAGAAGCTCCAAACACCAGATGAGGCTCAAGTTTGATTTTGACATTTGAAATATTTTTTTTTTTTAAAAAGGAGCAGGAAGGCATTCAAGTACATAAACAGACCAGAGTGAAGTACAGCCCAAACCTGTGTAGACAAGTGTACAAATTTTAAAAAAGTGCATAACGACTAGGGATGCACGATATTGGATTATATGTCGATATCCGATATGCCAATATGTTAAAACTTATTTGGCCGATAACCAATACCAATACAGATATTTTTTCCCCCTAGACCTACTTACAGAGACTACACAGCTTTCTCTGCTGTGAAATTAAAATACATTATTCTACATGGTCTTTGTTAATTTGGCCTGTTACCAAATGCAGATGTCAAAAAAGGGCTGAAAATGATGTTAACGCTTCAACTTGGATTATGTTTAATGTCAAATTTATTCATGACATTTACTCTCTAACACAATGACAACACTCAAGTCATACAAAAACAGTGCCTTTTATATCCGTGAGTTATTTTGATGGAATGGCCGATGTCCGATATTTAACTTTATCACTAATGTCGGCCAATACTGATACCATGCCGATAATATCGTGCATCCCTAACAACAACCTTCAGATTACCTTAGAGCACAACTTAAATTGTACAGATAATCTTTTTATTATCTTGATTAAATTCTGAGGTCGCACCGTCTTGTTTTGCGTTAAAGAAACTGATCCATTTACAAGATTTATACGTTCAGAGACATTCGGTCTGTCGTTCCAGACACAGGAGGCACGACTGACCGTACTGAGATTACTCTTTTAGTCCCCCCCCCCCCCCCCCACATCCCCCCGACTTCAGCTCATATCCTGGCTAGCTCTGGAGTGAGAGCCGAATAAGTTAATGAGACAAACCCCAAATGTGAAAACAATAAAAACGACGAGGTTCAAACTGAGATCCAGGCGTTAAAAACAATGTTTTAAAGTCCTGCATTGTTAGCCGCTAACGCTAATCATACATTTCTGACAAAAGGACACTCGTGTGACTGAAAACAAAAAAAAAGGCAATTTTCAAGTTGATAAAGTCTGTTCGGACTTGGCATACATGATTTCAACTGATGTTGAACCCTCCCAAACTAAACCTCGACATGATGAGTGTGTGGGCGGGGTCTCAAAATCCCAGGGGGTGAGGAGACACCACCCCTCCGTTCTCCACCACAGCAGCAGACAGGGCTTGCAGGTTGCTGAAGAGCTGTTTGGACTGACTGGAGCGCAGGAGCTTAATGTCCCGCAAGACCCGGTCGTGGGCCTGAAAGAGGGAGAGGACAGTTAGAGGACGAACCACGAGAGACGGTCAGGCTAAAGAAAATGTAGGGCTTGTTATAGTCGGACCAAAGCTCCGCCCACATTACATCACAAACAGAAACTTTCTGCTGCGGCTGCACATGAAAATAGAGTTTGGATCAGACAAGTTGAGACAGAGGAGAGTTTTAGTGCATTCACTTGAGACGTGGACCTCTTGGTAAATCATCAACACTAACAACTGAACAAAAAATAAATAAAAATAACAACAACTAGAGAAATTGCATTTCCTAAAAAATGCAGTGTGAATGCTTATTGCAGAAGGACTTGCTGAAAAACAGCTGAAATTAGCTAAAAATATGCTGAAATGTAGCTGAAATGA